TTTTTTTTTTGTGGAGACAGAGTTTGACTTATAGCCCTCGGTAGAGAGCTGTGAAGTCACAGCTCACAGCAACCTTAAACTCTTGGGCTTACGCGATTCTTTTGCCTTAGCCTCCCAAGTAGCTGGGACTACAGGCGCCCACCACAACACCTGGCTATATTTTTGTTGCCATTGTTGTTTAGCAGGCCCGGGCTGGTTTCCAACCCACCAGCCCTGGTGTATGTGGTAACCATGGAGCTACAGGCATCGAGCCTTGATACATGATTTTCAACTAATGCATATAGTCTATATGAGTTCAGTCTTTGTATTGTACATTCTATCAGTTTATGTTATATATATTGACATCACATAGAATTATTTCACTGCCTTAAAAACCAGGGTTTTTGATTTTTTTTTTTTGTTGTTGTTTTTGCTGGGGATTCAAAACACCAGGGTTGTTTTTGTTTTGTTTTATTTGCAGTTTTTGGCTAGGGCTGGGTTTGAACTTGCCACCTCCAGCATATGAGGCCAGCGCCCTACTCCTTTGAGCCACAGGCGCCGCCCGGTTTTTGTTTTTTTGAGACAGAGTCTCACTCTGTTGCCCTGGGGTAGAGTGCCAAGGCAATCTCTACAGCAACCTCAATAGCTCACAGCAAGCTCAAACTCTTGGGCTCAAGTGATCCTCCTGCCTCAGCCTCCCGAGTAACTGGAACTATAGGTGCCCGACACTACACTCGGCTAGTTTTTCCTATTTTTTAGTAGACACAGGATCTCACTCTTGCACAGGCTGGTCTCCAACTCCTGAGCTCAAGGGATTCACCCACCTAAGGGCCTCCCAGAGAGCTAGGATTACAGGCATGAGCCACCGCACGGGGCTAACCAGGAGGGTATCTAAAAAGTAAACTTTGAGTAGAACTCTATCATGCATAAAAGGACACTCATATGTAGACAGCTCAATGAATTTCACTGGCTGAACTCCTCTGGGAAACAGTACCCAGATCCAGAACAAGCTATTTCCCAGCCTGACCTTCACCATGACCCCCTTTCAGGCCAACTTTAGCCCCTCTGTCTCTGCCTCCCCACAAACTGGAGCTCCAAGGGGCCCAGGCTTCCCATCTGTTTATTGTTTGTTTTTGTTTTTTGGGATAGAGTCTCACTTTGTTGCCTCCTTGGTAGACTGCCCTGGCATCATAGCTCACAGCAACCTTTCTAACTCTTGAGCTCAAGTGATTCTCTGGCCTCACCCTCGCAAGTAGCTGGGACCACGGGCACCTGACAATGCCCAGCTATTTTTAGAGATGGGATCTCTCTGGAGTTCAGGCAATCTGCCCACCTTGGCCTCCCAAAGTGTTGGGATTATAGGTGTGAGCCACCATGCCTGGCCCCCATCTGGTTTGTTTTATTTCTCATCCCCAGAATGGCCTCCAGCCCTGCTGACACCCAGCATCCCCCTGAAATGCCTGATCTCTTTCATGCTTCAGCCCCCTAACACCCAGCATGGTCCCCTCACAGTCACAGGCCCCAATGCCTCCCCAGCGCCTCCTCACCCTCAGACAGACAGACACACACACAAATGAAGCCCAGCACTGGGTTTATTGCCTCCCTGGCAGGGAGAGGCATTTTGGGGCAGGCTGAGCAGGACAGGGCTGGGCTGGGAGTTTCTCAGTCTGTGTGAGGCAGGTTCAGTTGTGAAGTAGGGATATTTGTGGAGGTTGCTGGAGGTTGAGCTCAGGGTGAGGGGCCTGGGTCTGTGCTGAGAGATTCTGCCATTGTGAAATTAGTGTCACTCACCCTCCTGGGCTGTGAGAAGATGGGGAGGGCTGGAGTGTCTCTGTAAGAGAAACTGACCCAGGTAATTCCTGAGGGTCCAGGGGCATGGAGATGTTGTGATCTACATCCCCATCCTACAGTGCCTGGACAGGCAGGGAGGGGGGCCTGGCCACTGTGGCCCCTCCTTGGGTCATCCAATGGGTTATGAGGCTGGAAGGGGCATGGGGAGCTCAGAGCTCATCATGGTGTCGTGTCAGGTCCTCGCCATAGTTGGTGGCCTGGCTGCCCACGAACATGTTCCAGTTGCCCAGTATCTCAGCTTTGCTCAGACGCCCATCCTAGAGGAGGGTTAGGGGTCAGAGGGGACAACTCTGGCCCTGCTTGGGAAAGTCATCCATATGTCTAAGTATGTCCCCCTGGTCTCTGTGTCCCCTTCTCTCAGGTCTCTGTTCCCATCTCTCTGGGTCTCTGACATCCCTTTCTCTGGGTGTCTGTCCCCCTCTCTCGGGGTCTCTGTACTCCTCTATCTCTTTCTCTCTCTGTGTTTCTCTTTCTTTATCCTACCAAACAGGGACGACCCCAGCCCCAGGTGTAGGCTTGCTTATGTCTGCACACCCGCCCAGCATCCCTGCTCAGTGCCTGCTTATGCATCTCATCATGGCACCTTGTCTATGTCGCTCTCCTGTAGCAGGTGGTTGGCCTCCACCAGGGGCTGGTCCTGGGAGGGAGGTAGCACCCAGTGGCCAACCTCTTTCCCATCCAGTCGCCCATCCTTGTTCAGGTCCCGGAAGTCCTGGAACTGCTGCCGCTCAGTCTGCACCCAGGCTGGCTCCTCTTCCCCAGGCTCCTCAGAGTACAGATCCGCTGGGTATGGAACAGAGGGGACAGAGTCAGGGGTAGCTCTGGGGGCACAGAGAGCCTGGGATTCAATCCTGGCTCTGACATTTCCTGGCCTGTGAATGTAGGCAATTTGCTACACTTTCTTTGCCTCAATTTCCCCTTCTATTTAAATGGGATTAGTAAAGCCAGGCACAGTGGTCCCAGCTACTGGGGAAGCTGAGGCAGAAGGATTGCTTGAGCCCAGGAGTTTGAGATTACAATAAGCTATGATAACACTACTGCACTCTAGCCTGGTGACAAAATGAGACTCTGTCTCTAAAAAATAAAAAAAGGCTGGGTGGCTCAGCACCTGTGGCTCAAGTGGCTAAGGCGCCAGCCACACACACCTAAGGTGGCGGGTTCGAATCCCCAGCCTGGGCCCGCCAAACAACAATGATGGCTGCAACCAAAAAATGGCCAGGCGT